GAGCCGCGAAGATTCTTCAGAGGAGATAGACCGGTCATCATCTTCGTCCTCGCCCTCCTCAATTTCCAGGTCGTCAGACAGGAACGAGTCCTCATCTTCCTCTCCTTCACCATCGTCGCTTCCAGAATGAACCCCGTGTTCATCTGAATCTTCATTGTTAATCTCGGTAAACGAGCTAGTGTCAGAAAGCGACGAGAGATTACTAAATGACGGCTCATCAGACAATCCGCCTTTCTCTGTACCCTTGCCTTTCGAATCACGCGAGGCTAAATGAATTTAAGGTTAACCAGAAATTGAGTGCTCGAAATAAATAGATACGCACATCGTTCGCTTTTCCCAGCAGCGGCCCCTTTCGGTGGAGGCGTGGACACGGACACAGTTGTATTCTTATCGATCAGTGGGAAGGCCAAAATAGACGCTGTGCTCGGTTTGACAGGATCTGTTGCATCGTTATCCCCGACCTTTAAAAGTTCATTGAACGACTTCTTCGGACCAGCAAACGCAGCAAATCCCGTCGAAGTTCCACTGAACGCCCCAAAACCTCCAGTGGCAGGCACCTTGGCCGGGGTCGGCGATCCTGCAGCGATGACGGGGAACGCAGAGCGCAGAGCGCCGAGAGCCGAAGGCGAACCAAACGCGGGCGATGATGATGTCGATGGCGCGCCCGACGAAGGGCTCGCAAGTGAAGACGCGAAGGCAGATACAGCAGGAGTCTTAGGTTGTGCGTTGGAGTTGAAGAACGGAGACGAGGCGGGGGTCGTGTCACTCCCAAAGGCCCCGAAACCCGTAGCTGGCTTGAATACCGAAGGTGTCGAAACCAAGTTTCCAAACGCGCCTGAGGTAGGTCCTGAAATTTTACCGAACGGCGAAGTAACTGGTGTCGTCGTGGCCTTGGCAGCGGACGGAGGTGAAGGGCTATCGTTGTCAGAAACAATGGACGCCTTTGCAAGGCGTGGCGTGGCCTCGGGGGATAATGGCGGGGACCCTGCGAGGATAGGAGACTTTGCAGGTGTACTTGTCAGTGACTTGTCGTCCTTCTCGGATGGTGATTTCAAACGAGCACCAGGCTGCGGGCCGAATGGTGATGCTCCGAAGGCAGAAGCAGAAGCTCCGAATGCAGACCCAGAGGCCGGGGTCGAGCTGTCATTTCCAGAAGACGCAAAAGGCGCAGTGGCAGGCACCTTGGCCGGGGTCGGCGATCCTGCAGCGATGACGGGGAACGCAGAGCGCAGAGCGCCGAGAGCCGAAGGCGAACCAAACGCGGGCGATGATGATGTCGATGGCGCGCCCGACGAAGGGCTCGCAAGTGAAGACGCGAAGGCAGATACAGCAGGAGTCTTAGGTTGTGCGTTGGAGTTGAAGAACGGAGACGAGGCGGGGGTCGTGTCACTCCCAAAGGCCCCGAAACCCGTAGCTGGCTTGAATACCGAAGGTGTCGAAACCAAGTTTCCAAACGCGCCTGAGGTAGGTCCTGAAATTTTACCGAACGGCGAAGTAACTGGTGTCGTCGTGGCCTTGGCAGCGGACGGAGGTGAAGGGCTATCGTTGTCAGAAACAATGGACGCCTTTGCAAGGCGTGGCGTGGCCTCGGGGGATAATGGCGGGGACCCTGCGAGGATAGGAGACTTTGCAGGTGTACTTGTCAGTGACTTGTCGTCCTTCTCGGATGGTGATTTCAAACGAGCACCAGGCTGCGGGCCGAATGGTGATGCTCCGAAGGCAGAAGCAGAAGCTCCGAATGCAGACCCAGAGGCCGGGGTCGAGCTGTCATTTCCAGAAGACGCAAAAGGCGAGCTTGGCTTCGGGGAGCTGGCTGCAAAGGGTGACAGCGAGGCTGGTTGTGTAGGGGCAGCTGGTGGCGACGTCAATGCTCCGAACCCACCACTTGAAGCTGTGGTCGAAGCCGTGGAACCGAATGGCGAAGGAGAGGTCAAAGTTGTGGAACCGAACGCCGATGGGGAGGCCGAAGCGAATGAACCAAAACCACCAGAGGCTGGGGCTGTAGTTTGTTTAGCAGCAGCAGCCAAAGAGGTAGGTGCTGAAGACGCAAAGGCACCAAATCCTCCCGAAACGACGGACGCCGGCTGAGGGGACGCGGGTTTTCCAAACGATGACTGTCCAAATGCAGACGGTTGTCCAAAGGCCGAGGCCCCGAACGATGGTTGTCCGAAACCAGAGGCGGGTTCAATGATGGAAGTCGAGGTAGCAGCTGAGACATTGGCCGGTGTCTGCTCGGTGCCCGCAGATAAGTTGCTGAAAGCGCCTGAGGATGGTCTGATAACACCAAACGCGGAAGGTGACGATGTCGAGGATGTTGTTGTTGTACTAGTTGCAAAGGATCCGAAAATTCCACCAGACTTCACGGGTTGTGAGGGGTCGTTGGGAGCACCCAAGCCCATTCCGCCGAGAGATGGGGTACTATCTGACATGGACGCTTCACGCGACATGCCTTGTGCAGCAGCAGGGCCTGAAGTAGTACTTGGCGCCCCAAAGCTTCCTTGCCCAAATGCATTATGGGCAGTATTGCTGGCGAGGGAGGAGAACGCGCCCCCACCTCCAAATGCCGACGTAGGCGCTGCCGCTCCGAACGAGGGCCCACCAAACACGTTGTTTGTCGAATTTCCTCCAAAAGAGCTTCCTCCAAAGGCACTACTTGGCGCGTTTGCTCCTCCTCCTCCAAATGCACCCGAAGAGCCCCCACCAAATGCGCCAGAGGAACTGCCTCCAAATGCGCTAGGTGAAGCACTACTGCCGAACGCACCAGACGAACCCCCGCCTCCAAATGCACCGGAACCACCTCCAAACGCGCCAGACGAAGCTCCACCTCCAAATGCACCAGATGAAACTCCACCTCCAAACGCACCAGATCCAAATGCACCAGAACCCGCTCCAAACGCCGACGAATTCGCCGGCTGACCAAATGGTGAGGGTTGCGTCTGGGGGTTACTGAACGCCGACGTCGACTGTGACGTCTGCCCGAAAGTCGAAGGTCCGCCGAACGCAGATGTAGTGGGTGTAGAGGTCTGACCGAAGGCAGAAGTAGTCGTGGGCGTCGTTTGGCCGAACGCAGATGTCGCGGGCGTGGTCTGACCAAATGCGGTTGCACCGGGCATGGAGGTCTGTCCGAACGCAGACGTTATTGCAGGGGTGGACTGGCCAAATGCAGACGTTGTCGAAGGCGCGGTCTGGCCAAACGCAGTTGTCGCAGGCGTGGTTTGACCAAATGCAGAAGTCGCGACAGGCGTAGTTTGCCCAAACGTAGACGTCCCAAACCCTGTCGATCCAAACGCAGGCTGCGCACCAAATGCAGAGGGCTTTCCAAACGCTGATGTCGGTGTGCTCGTCTGACCAAAAGCAGAAGGCTGGCCAACGGCAGACAGCGCTTGCGAGGGCGCAGTTATCACAGGGGCACTGGAAGCAGGCTGGCCAAATGCAGACGGTGTGGGCGCTGCTGCTCCCTGTGAAGATACCACCCCTAGATACGGCTTTGAATGCTCGAGGCACCACGCCTGTACCGTCCCGTCGTCCAGGTACGCATATATGACCGGTCCCCTCGTTTGCACATCCGTTAAGTCCACAGCAAGACCAAGAAGAAGCGTGTCTTCCTGGCTGTCGTTCAACGGTAGGGAAAGCTGGCTCTCCTGAGACTGTTGATACCATTGTGTTCCTGTGCTGCCCAAAATTTCGATATCCGTGGACGCCTTATCCGCTACGACCGTGAGCGACTTGGACTGTGTGGATCCCGCATCTTCATCCCACTTTGGTAGCGTGAGAATATACGATTGAGTTGAGCGGTCAGAAAGTGGGAAAGGAAAGTTGGGTGCGTAGTATGTCGCAGTTGGAGTTTTAGAGTCAACGCAGACGATATGTTGTACAGGGTCTGTTCCCAGACCACCATAAGTTGTCCTGAAGGTGTGTCCTGGTGTTAACCAGTCAAGCGAAGCGAGGGGACTGCGGTTCGTTGGTGGCACATGCTTGTGTATCGAGTTTTTGTTGGTGAGGGGGTAGGTTAGGATATCACCGCTCTGCAGACCAATCGCAAGGTGTTTTCCCTTTGGAGACCATGCGACTGAAAACAATGAGTAACGAAACAAGTGACTTGACTCATAGAACGCACCTGCAACTGGGGTGTAATCTGGCTCGTGATGTGTCGATATCCATCCTCCCTGCACTTCCAACTTGGTATTATACAAGACCACGGTCTTATTTGCGTGTACCGCAGCAAAAATATCGACAGAGTTTGGTTCTGTGCCGGGATTTGGCACCAAAAGGCGTATTGGGCCGGTTGAGGAAGGCAAGGCGTGAATGGGAGTCACTGGGTCCGTACCGGGACTAAAAAGGGTGGCAGTATCGTACACAAGGATCTCACCACCTTCAAAGGCAACGAGAAGGCGTGTCTCGTTGGAGGCAAATGCGACAATGCTCGGCTTCTGAGTATTTACGGACACCGTTCGTTGGGGTGCGAAAGGGTCTTTTGCACTGTTGAAGGCAGTACGCAGATCAGCCAGCGGTGAGAAGACGAGACCTAAGGAATGCGTATTAGGATTGAACACTTTTGCATTATGGGACAACGCACAATGTGTCCCGTCTTCCTGAGATGTTACGGCTACAAACCATCCTTTTGAGTTTGCAACCGCGAAAAGAAGGTAGAGTGTGTTTGGTTGATGTCCATAGCCCTTCGGAGACAACGCGACGCGCTCGTACTTGTTCAGCAGGCGAAATATTGGGTACTGTACGTGATTTCAACGCCTGGAATTCATCAGAAAGAGCGAACGCACGTTGAAGCCGTCTGAGGGACACTCCTTTGCAACGGGATTAATGGAGACCTGAGACGGTTGTGGGGGAACGAGCGGCGTGAAATCATTCGTGCTCATTGTGTGCTGCGAGCCCTAGAGCGAGCAGGTCGTGGACGGTGGTTAAGGGCGAAAGTTGGGACCTACATAAATGACTCCAAAGTAGCACATTGATATTTTATAGCTTTTCTGATTACCTTGAACAATGCCTTCTTGGCTCAGTTGGCTAGAGCGCAGGTCTCATAGTAATATGACGTAATATCAGTTACGTAATCCTGAGGTCGCAAGTTCGAGCCTTGCAGAGGGCACTTTGTTTTGTTTTTGGCTCATTAATGTCTGTATCCGCCTCTAACATTTTCTAAACAGAATGTCACTACCACTCCACCACAACTGGCAGTCATTTTAACCCATGCTCCCGTTCATGATCATGTCATCCCGTCTTTGGATTCGTATCATCTTGTCTAATTCATCTTCGGAGGAGTCAATAGATCTCCTCGGAATCCAGCCGTCATCTACACGAACTTCCCGCACAGTGCCAGAGCTGAATTCTTCTTCTTACCGTACCTTTGCCGTAAGATACCTGTCAGTTAAAGTTGTGTAACACACACAAACTGCAAATCCCATCGAGCCATGCTGCATACTACTTGTGTCTTCATTTTTTTTTCGACAGATGTCATCAGTGGCGAGGTATTGCGTGTTGATGATCAGCCTCTATGCATACTTCCTTAGGTTCCCGTTGTTCTTCACTTCCGCTCCACGACTCCCAAGTCATGAGGCACCATACTCCGAGATGACGTGTGTCGATCTATCTATTAAATTTTCAGGATCTTTGAATCTCCGGTCTATCGACACTGGGCAACGGACATCCCAAGTTCTCCCAGAAGAAGTCTGATCCCTAATGAACGTACAAGTAGCACATGCCCTCCTTCCGCACTGGACCCAACGGCCCGTGGCAAACGTCCATCTATTCAAAGTCATGAACATTGGACGTGATTGTGATGACTTCTGACAAACGACGCTCCGTTTGACACTGATAATAAATTCGTCTGGGATATAAGTGTAATCATGCGGCGTGAAGCTGTCTGTCCTTGAGTCCCACCTTCACTCCTTTACTGCTGTAGTCGTGCACCAGGGCCAATGGCGACCCCTGCCCCTTTCCACTCGCCCATTCCACTGGATAGCAAGCTCGGGGCAGCATTTTTGGGCAACCTTATAGCTGGCATGTGAGTATCCCAGCTAACTGACCCCAGCGTACGAACTTTCAAGTGACATGGGTTTTGTAGTTTCTATGGGATTACATGTGTCCAAACCTACATCTACTTCCACAACAGCGGGAGAGATCGGCAGTGGTTCAAAGGCATAGTACGTTTTCAGTTGACCCATTTCTCGGCTGTAATACCAATGAGCTTATCTAGATTTTCTTTCTCTGGTAAGGATCCTGAAATTTCCTAACGATTTCTCACCGACCATCGTGCTTCTAGGATAATGGATACCCTCCATCTTGCGCTAGTGACGCACGGGTTATACTATTACATAGTCTCGAACTTCGGTAATCTTTTGGCTCTGCTATCACCCTCATGGTTTGTCGAAGTCTAGCACATTCATAACCATAGAAATACTAACGACTACATACTGTTATGCAGGAGTCTACTTGTACGTTGTACCCATTCATTGTGCCTTGCATGATCCCAACGTCGTACCAACAGGCCCAGGTCTATGTCACGGTATGGCCAGCTTTAGAGAACAATCCATACTAGCTGAGCTAACCACCTGGAACCCCAGTGTATCAGCGATGCCATCGTCAGATGGTCCGTATTGCCATGAGCACCTCGTTCCCTTCTTCTGATCTCGCATCCAGTATCTTCGGTCGCCGCGTCTGGCTAAGTAAGGAGTCCGGTTCAACATATTCGCACTATATTAAACCTTCCTTGAAGTGACGCGCAGGAACTACATCATTGCCATTCTCATCGTGCGTCCCATCATGATCTACTAAATTATTCCCGTTGTCCGACTGACTCGGTTTCCCTAGGCTCTGACCTCGATACTAACATTCGGTACGTTTTCATCATGCTAAATCTCTGTGACTCATTTCTTCTCCTCTCTTGATCATAATTAGTTACTGGTTTCGGTAAGCATCAATCAGTGCCATCATACCCTGCGCCACGATCTCACGAGTCACCAAATTTGGATCAGCATTCGCCTCCAGAGCGTTCGTCAAACCGCTTCTCATAAAGTAGCCTCATCTCACCTCAATAATATTCAGATACGCGGTCAAGACATTCGCTCGATTCGATGAAATATCCGTCAGTCACTGATCCGCTGTCGTGGCGCTAGCTGATATTTTTTATTCTGCTCCTCAAGTACTTCCTCTATACTGCGCTAGGAAGTGGCGTCGCTGCAGATCTTTTAATCGCCGGGTCTCTCTGCTTCAATCTATCCCAACGCCGCACAGGATTTAAGAAGTACGCATTCCATCTTGAGGACTCTCGGCATCTTACTTAATGCACATCGTAGAACGGACTCACTTCTCAATGTTCTCATCGTGTACACCATTAACACAAGTAAGGGGACAATAATGACTTCTTCAAAATTCTCATTCATGCCAACCTTTGCTCCAGGTCTTTTGACAACGTAAGCACCGCACCCTTCATTCCTCAAGACAGACTCCAACCTGGGCTTCACAGAATCTGTTCTGCGGCCTGCTTCATTACCTACACAATCTGGCCAAACGAATTCACGTTCATCGGGATTTATTTCTCGCTCAGTAAACGTAAGGTTCCCCTGCACCATACAACTGCACCTATCTGATTGAGCTCTACGTAGTCTTCCTCAACAGTTTACTAGCAACCCTGAACAGCCGTGAAGCCTTATCCGAGAAGCTCGGCGGCATCTCCAACGTCTCAGAACTGTCGAACCTCTCCTCCACTGCGAAAGTCTCGAATAGCAAACCTGTAAGCTCCCTCTTTTGATGAAACCCCTGGTATTGATGTTTGCCCTCAGTCGGTGGTGGTTAGTATTAATCGAGACGTCGTCAATGACTACGAAATGGCGACCCATAAATCTACAGGCTATTAGATGAACCGGGACTGAGCGGACTGTGTTTATTCTTATGAGGATACCTTGGAACCCTTACCCTACGTCGGATAGGATAGGACTTGTAATTTTAATTGTTGACGCCATTCTAAATTGTGGCGTCATGTTGTAGGGTTCAAATTTGGTTCGGGTGATGTTAAAAGCGATCGAGAGGCCACGAACAAGAAAGTTAAGACACGTTCGTGGATATTGTCGGCCCAAAGTGAGCTTATACAGGCCATGATGTCAAGGGTACTTCGTACTCGCAGATGTAGTTCCGGGCGTACTGCTAGGCCGACGCGTCATGTGTAAAATTGCCACCTCCCGCTCCCCCGCTCCCGCATCCGATTGCCGCCACTACGTCACTCCCTGTCACTCCTCACTCATTTCGATTACGATCGCGCCGCAATGAGGTTATTTAGCTCTAACTAAAAATTCTATTCATCTCTTGAGACTATTTCGAACTTGATGGATGGAAGGTGTTAGAGTCATCTTTCCCTGAAAAGTGGCATGGTTTATGTCGAGTTACGGAGGTAAGAGCGGGGCATTGTCGTCATATGACGATCGAGAATATTTCTGGGGCCGCTTCCCCGCCACGATCCTTCCCGCCTCGCTCCTGCACAGGATTTGCGCCTCTCCCGACGTCCGCCCTCATTTTTTCGCCACAGCCTCGCCCGCCACTTGGCCATGAAAGGTATAAAAGGGTCGGTGCATGGCTGGCCCAAACCCATCAATCACCAACCTACTTGTCTAACACATTATGAAGCTTACTGGCACCATCCTCGCCCTGGCTGCTCTCGCCCAGACTGCCTCTGCCCATTGTGAGTTCATCCTTTTCCCACTTCACATTTCATCCCACTGACTATCTCCTCAAGACACCTTCAACACTCTCATTGCTGGCACACAAAGATCGTCTGCCGCTGTCCGCCAGCCGCAGAACAACTCACCTGTGAAGCCAGTCACCTCACTCGACATGAGGTGCAACACCAACCCCACACCGGCATCGGCCACAGTCACCGTTAACGCTGGCGACACCGTGGGCTTCACCATGTCTGCCGCCATCTTCCATGAAGGCCCTCTCTCCATCTACCTAGGCAAGGCTCCTGGTAACGCTGCAGACTGGGACGGCAGCGGTGCCAACTGGTTCAAGGTTTGTCTTCTGCTTGTCTCGATCAAGACTTCTTGACTGACTTGTCAACCCAGATCGCTGAATGGGGCGCAACATTCAACCGCTTCGGTTTCACACCCCTCGGCAAGTCTGAATTCACCACCACCATCCCCAAGGACACACCTTCCGGTCAGGTTAGTATTTTATACCCAGTTTCTATCGGCTCTTACTTACCTTTCACCCAGTACCTGATTCGAGGCGAACAAATTGCCCTCCACGTCATTCCCCCCGAGTTCTACGTTGGTGTTGCACAGATCAACGTCGTTAACGGTGGCTCCGGAAGCCCGTCCAAAGTTTCAATCCCAGGCCACATGAGCGAAAGTGGTGAGTAGATTTGCATACTTTGA